TTCAAACGACTTGCCAATCTAAAGAACACATATCAATGTATCACTGATTCTGTTTGAATGTCCCTAACTCGCAGGTAACAAAAAAATATCGGTTCGTGAAATTTTACTTTTTTGTGACATTCGGCCGTACCTCAGTGGAGTACCTTTAATGAAACTTGATATATGGATAGATGGCAGTATGGAGATTATGCACGTCTTTTTCTTTTCTTCCTATGTTGAAAATTCTGGTTGCTATGGCAACAAATAGACTGAAAATATGGCAAATTTTACACATAACCTGGATCCCGCGATAACGCAAAAAGTACTGAAAATATTTTTATGAAACTTGATATATGGATAGATGGCAGCATGGAGATTATGCACGTCTTTTTCTTTTCTTCCTATGTTGAAAATTCTGGTTGCTATGGCAACAAATAGACTGAAAATATGGCAAATTTTACACATAACCTGGATCCAGTGATAACACAAAAAGTACTGAAAATATGTTTATGAAACTTGACATATGGGTAGATGGCAGTATGGAAATTATGCACATCCTTTTTTATCTTCCTATGTTGAAAATTCTGGTTGCTATGGCAACAAATAGACTGAATTTCAAGATTTCTGATTCTAGTTTTTTTAGTTTTTTCTCTATAAGTTCTTTATTTCTTAAGGTATTTTCTTCAAACTTTAAATATAAGTTGCTTGTCATCAACCACATCATATGTGACAAGGTTTACAACTCTAACACAAAATTTATCAGAATTACCTCCCTTGAACTTAAAATTTTCATGAAAAAAAACATTGTTTTTTTAATAACTTTTTTAATAACTTCTTTTTCTGAATGTATCTACTTCAAACTTCATACATACATGATAATTGCTTGTTTTTATAAAATGTATGTTTGTCACTTAGTTTGGTTACAATAATAAATAAACACAGATCAACTCTCAAATTTATTGATTATTATTATACATAAACATACAATTCGAAAAAAAAAACCAACAACAACAACAATAGCATGTTTCATTTTATCTATATGAGATAAAAACAATAGATATGTACAATAATTGAGGAAAAAAGGTACATTTTTAATATACTATCAACTTTGAAACATTTTATTTAATTTGTTATTCGTGTTTAGTAAAGATGCCGAGGAATTATTCAAAGTTATGAATTATTCAATTGATTGATAAAAAATTAGAAAAAATAAAAATACAAATGTACATGGTTTAAGAATGAACAATATTATATATTGAAAGATTAACCATAATTTACTGACTTTTTCCAGTTAAGTTTTGACTTATAATCGTCGGTCAGTATGACAATTGAATTCTTAAATTTATTTTACAATTTTAATTAAAAAAAATGTAATAGTAGTAAACGTAAAAAACTCAGTATCAAAATAGAACATAAAACACAAAAAAGAAAAGAAAACAATATTCATAAAATCTGTAAAAAATTTTATTAAAATAGATATTACAATTATTGTATAACAAACAATTATGCTCAACATGATCAACATGGTAATATAACCAGTGTCATATTTTTACTTAGTGGGAACAGATACCTTAAGAGGGGTTCTTCGCTAATATCAATAACATAATAAGGGATAATTACACAAGTGTGATGTTGTCATGCGTTACACATATGGATTATAAATGATTGTATACATGTATATTTGTTGCTATTAATAATCACGATCATAAAGAAATAACAAGTAATATTCTAATCTATAGCATGCCAATGAAAGTTCATAATTCGTCCGTTCATTCATAAGTGATATACAATTCTGGTAAAAACCAATTAACCATTGTAAAGATTATAAGAATATCTTGTCATCATATGTCTACTAGTTCATCTTCACCTGCTGCATTTCTTGCTTGGACGCCCTTTGATGCTTTGCATCAATGCTTTTCTTGTATTAAGTAATGGATTAAAATAAGCACCAGTAAAAGTGAAGCTTTGTTTTTGGCAATAAATCCGATTTCTTAAATACATTTTCAACTATAAAATGGCTTAAAACGTGTTATTTAATTTATTATAGAAATCAATTTGTTTTAGAAAACAGTCCATTTACAATATTTATTTTTCACAAAATTGTTTCGAATATCCCATTTTGGTAATTTCAACAATAGATATACGAGTATGTGAATATTTAATGAAATTCGGTCTCGATGAAATATGATGGGTAAGATATCTGTCTTTTTACATACAAAGTGGTTTGCATGTAGAATTATCTGAACGATTCTTGTACTTTACCCTCCTATTATCAGCAAATAGGATTAAATGAAAGATTTGAGCAACTTTTATACGCAGTGTACTACAAAAACACCAATAAAAGATCATATCAAACCATACTTGTATATCAAAGAAACAAAGAGGTTTACATAAACGTTACTACATTGTTTTTTATGGTAATTAACTATAACAAGTACTTTAGGTTATTTTTGCTCATTAAAACAAATGGGTATCTGCTTAACAATTGATGATGGGGATTGGTTGGTGGTAGTGTCGACACACAACTGATACAGCAACATTTCTTTTCTTGTTTTCTTTCTTCCCTCTTCAATCTTTTCATCTTAAAATGAAAATGTATTGTTACTTAATGCATATTTACTTTAATGTATAACTTTCTTTACTGTTAATCATTTACAGGGAAGGGCCCACGATAATGTTGTAAAAACTTTTGGCCCAACCCTTTTGTATATTGTGTAATTTTGTTAATGTAAATGAATTGATTTATATTTATATATGCAATAAAATATTAGTGCTCAGCTCTAAAATAGTGTTCTTAATTGTAAAATATAGAAATTTAAGTCATATTCATGAGTAATATATGTGTGTGTGATCATTTTTAAATAAGATTGAATCGGATTGAAGGGTTTTTTTACGTTTTGATTTCTATACTAAGAATATTACAAAAAGATAACACTAACATTTTCATGACAAGTGCACTTAAAGTTGCAAATGCTATATTCAAGTTAGTATCAGTTTGTTTCATTTCGTGATCAATGTATCAAATACTGTTGTGTAAAAGCTTCCAATGAGTCTAAATGCACTTCAGTCTCTTTACTGCTATCTGCTTAGTGCTAGCAATTTTTATGCTGAGATGCCCCCTAACCCTTTACTTGTCATATTACGTAATTTTGAATTGAAAACAGTTCATATAATAATTCTGGGATTTCAATATAGATACATAAATTTAGCTACCAACAGTATAAAATGTGGTCAAGATACATGAACATACAGACATGCCCCATTTTATACTGATGGCAGAGGATAATATGGACATATGTTTGATTCTCTCAGGTTAAAGGACCAAACTATTACTTTATTGTAAGACAGGTACTCGTAAATCACACATTGTCAGCAGAATTAGGGTTATATCTTATGTTTTTAATTTATTTTTCAGGATTGTTCACACAAATGTCTGGTAGACTTATTGTTGCCCTGCTGCTGGTCCTCCTGTTATGAAGCAGATGGTCACATGACCATTAGACGGTTTATTCCTGTTCTGAAATGGATATTTATTTCAGACATATGAATTCTCATTCAATGTCTCAGTTTGTTCATTTCTTATTCATTCAGTTATATGCTCTGTTTATTTAATTGATTTATTTATTCATGTTCAGAAATAAATAAAGTTTAGGTTGCGAAATCAATGTTCTGAGTTCAATTGTCATTTCGAATGATGCTTAATAAGAATGTTGTTTAAGAAAACAGTCTAGAATAAACTTTTATGACAAGTGTTACCAAAGCAACAATTAGAAAAGGGAAACAACGTAGCATGTGTTGTTTCTGTTCTTATCCCATTATTTATTGCAATACTTGATGTTGTCACATATTGACAATATAAGGATAATGCACAGACACTGTGATGTGGAGCTCCAAACGCCTTAAAATCCAAATAAATTGTATATTTGTCAACCCTAGCACAAATACATATCATGTATTTCAAAAAATCTTAATATAAGCTGTTTTGAAAAAAAAAATCATGTTACTGGAAAGGTCATCAGACCTCTCCACAGTGTTGAGTATAATTGCTGGCGGCATCCATTTTTGCGTATCAAAATGAAGCTAATGTATTGCATTTTAAGCCTTAAATCATTAGAACCAGTCTACAAAAATTGTTATGCGCATGCTCCACTTCAAATTAAATACGACTTAACTTAAACGAAAAATAAACATCGAAGTGAACAAATCGGTACAAGGAAAAATCGGAAAATATCATTTACGTTACTTACACTACGAGCAATGGTTCACTCCGTTTTTAAACTGTATAATTCGATAATTGTTTTCTGAATTAATGTTCTAGAAATAGTAACAGTAAACATTATAGCTACAATATCACCATGCACTATTATATGACCGAGTGAACTGTGTACCGAAAATTTGCTGCTCATTTAACTTTTGAAATGGTATGACTAAATTACGCAACGGAGATTTTTTGGTGCAAATGGCACCACTTTTTCTGAATTAAGTTTAAAAATTTGTTGTTTTTTTTGAAATATTGTGGTTGGAGGCTTGCATAAGTATATATTGTTTATTGCAATCAAATTATATATATAATTTCAATGTAAATCTGGGACTTAAAATCGTTTGATTAATATACTTTATGCCCGTTTTGGAAAATTTCTGTTTTTTATGCAAAATATCTTCCAATATTTTCGAAATAAACAAATCTTCCACAGCTGCAAAAAGACCTCTCACATGCTTCTTTTTAAAGAAGCAAACTTGTATATGATATGTGCTGGGATCGACAAATATACATTTAATATTGATTTTAAAGCGTTTAGGGCTACGCACATTAAGTGTCTGTGGGGTAATGTGAGAACTTGATAGTTACTTTCAGAAAATTAGTATCTTTAAATTTATTATCCGGGAAATGCTCAAGATAATTTTTTGTCAGTCTATTTGTCTTTGTCCCCAAGAAAACGAAATCCACTAAAAAGAAAAAGTCATGACCGATTTGAATTCATCATTGCGGGCAGAAACACCGTTTATGCTGTGTTTATACACCGTTCTGTCTATCTTCATTGTCTGTGAGATAAGAATAAGGTCATAAAATGGTCACATGTTACATACTTACTGATAAAAAAAAATTGAAATCGTGATTGGACTCTCTTTGGAGTTAAACTTTGTTAGCAACATGATAGGAGTGTCTCTTTTCTTTGGTAAATAGCTATTTATTTCTTTTAAACTCGTACCATTTTTGCTGTTTAATAATTCTGTGCTTATAGTATATGATTATGAGTATAAATTTGCACTTCGGAATAATATACGCGATACGAGGAAATATTTAAAGTGTCATTGTATTCGTATTGAGTAAGAAGACTGGATCGAACTAGTTCATTCCGAAAATTTGAGAACCTTAATAAATCATATTGATGAGTACTTTGACGTATGCATTTACAAATATTTTATTTAATTATCAATCACTCTAAACTGATACTTTTAAGGACACTTTAACACTTGCAAGCTTATTAGTTATCTTTCTTTGCTTAAAGCGTGTGATTATAGACAACCTGTTTCAAATCGACCAAAAAAAGATCAAAAACATTCATTTTAGAATTGCATGCCTCAGTCTGTACGTTATACGTCCAATTAACCTTGTCCTAACAAATTATTGAAAATGTGTTAGCCGTGGCTTTTGGTGTCTTTTGAGTTGTCAAAAGATAATGTCACAGAGAAGGAATATACTATTAGGTCAAAAATTATAAAACTAAGTAGGGACATTACCATGACCTGTTTCTGGAATCTATTGATTGAATAATGTCACAGTGACACTTAATCCATTTTCCTTTTAATGACTTAAGAAGTAAAAAGCTGAAATGTGTTTAATTCGGTATTGACCTGTCCTATTTCCAATAGACGATCCCTATTGAGTTTAAGGTCAGTTGGTCATGTCACAATAACATAGTGTACGTTCTTGTCTGAGAAATAACAATTTAAGATGTGTTATACTTTGTAGGGACATTCTGCATGACCTTCATTGATTTTAGGTCAAGGTCGCATAACTCATTGATATGAAATCCTCGCCTTAAGAATAATCATAAGTGACACTCTATTGCAATAATACTTTTGTTTCATGGCTTGCAGAAGTTATTCCTATCCACGAAAAATTGATTGTAGAAAATTAGATAATAAAGTTAATATTTTAAACACATGTTCGCTACAAGACATAGGTCATCATTTTTGGTTAACAAAAATATTGCTGTACTTCTACAGTTATTGTATTGGTCGGTGTTAGCAGTGGACAAAACTGTGGCTCCCTTACCACTTGTTCACATCAGCATAAGTCGCCAGTATGCGGAAGCAATGGGGTAACATATTGTAAGTTATTATTATATTTCACATATCCATATGTTTATAGGCCTACGTAGCTTATCTTTACACGCAGACTCATTTTTAGGATAGTCTTATCAAATAAATTTCATATATTACATGTATTATAAATATGAAGGACGCTTAACCTGCCCTTTAGATACATGTACAAGGCAGTAAATTGTCATGTGACAGCATTTTATTGATAGTGTGGCGAGTTTCTTTCTGATCAAAAAAGATTCTCAAACAACAAGTACTTTTAAGGGACTCCATTGAAGGTTTTACTATATAACGCTCGATTTATTTTTTCGAGCTTTGCGTAACTGTCCGGGAAAAATGTTAAACTAGTTAATTCGAAAACAAGCAACAGAATAAAATGCTTATATCGTTATGATTAACAACCCATTCTGAATAAGGTTTAGTAGTTAAAAGTAAACTCTAAATAGCAAAATGTAAACGTTTTCACCTCAGTTGCTCTAAAACTGTTTATCATCTATTTGTTCTGTCAACACAAGAAATACAAATGTTACAAAAACATCGCTCATGGACAAACGTTCTTGCTCTTACGATTGTCCATGAGCGCAGTTTTTGTAACATTTGTACTGGTATTTATTCTGTTGACAGAATAAATAAATCATTAACAGTTTTAGAACAAGTTAACTTCACGAACAAAACTTGCTCTAAATAATCTGTTTCGTTAACACAAATAAACAAAATGTAAAAACGTTGTTCTTTAGTATTGATACTTTTGAAAAAAAAAAAGATAAACAAAATGTATTTAATGTATTTGTCGTTATAATCAACAGCCAATTATTGCTACCTGACCCACGCAATATGTATATATAAACAACAGCACCGTCACCTGGCCTTGGCCCATTCTGGTTCTTGTCACCACGCGACATCTGCTACACATATTGACCTCAAACACTGTGATTTAATCTGTGATGAAGAGCATCCCACCCGGCAGGTGTGTCTTAGTAACGGACAAACTTATGGTGAATATTACTGTTTTGTTTTTGTTTCGTTTTAATGTACGCAAACACATTAGAATTAATGTTAAATAGCGATTAAATTGTAGCTTTATTGGTGGAAGGACACCTCGGATGCCCCTTCGTGCCTTATTCATACAGACATAACCAGGCATCTGAGTAGAACTAGTTTCTGATATAAATTTCCTCACATACAGGTATCATTTTAACGGAATCCAAAAGGCAAGTGATTTGAAACCAGCCACTTAAAGTTTCATTAACCATTTTTCATGATCAAATGCTTATAAATTCAAGCAAATTGATATCTGAACAAGTCGTTCTGGACACTATTAATGCTTCTAATCTCAAAATCTCACCATACCATGTTTTAATGTTGAATTCAGTTTGAACCGATGCGAGAGGGCGTCGGCAGTACCTTGCATTAAGAGGCCATGAACAGGCTAAATCAAACCGAACATTTTCAATTTTGTCGTTTTAGTCGTTCTTTGGGGATCATTTCATTTTTCTTAATTTTATTATTCAATCTTAGTTGTTTTTGTTTTTTAAGTTGTTTATATGTGTTTTTTTTTTGTTATATGTATCAATTAACATTGTTATGTCATACAATTAGATCGTTTTTGCAATCTATTTATCATTAAAGATCCTGTAACACAATTTTGTCATGGTTTTATTTCATAAATATGATGCTCAAATTAAGATTTGTCAATATTGTAAGTTCCAATAAGCATTATTAATAAAGATATTACCCAATTTAAAATTTCATGTAGATAAAGGGAGGTAATTAGAAATTTATTTTCTATAAATTCTAAGTCAAATTTTCCAATAAGAAATGAATGCATGTAATTTATTGATTAAATATAATGTGCACAAATATTTGCAGTACACATTTTACATATTCTTGGATCTTTGAAAATTGTTTTATTTGCATAATTATATACATATATAATTTTTTGCGAGTGTGGTATACACACACTATGCCAGCCCGCATAGCTCAATCGGTTAGAGCGCGAGACTTGTAATCTCGACATTGTGGGTTCGATTCCCGGGCTGGCCAACTAAAATTACTAATCAGTCTTTCGGATGAGACTTTAAATCGAGGTCCCGTGTATGGGTGCTTAAACACTTGGCACGATAAAGAACCAGGAGAAGCTTCTGGAATTGGGGCATCTTTCTGTATCTGTAATTGCACTATCCTCCAAAAAATAAAATGACTAATACTCTTCTGGAGGACTCGCCCATATGGGCAACCGGTGGCGAGTATAAATAAACGCAAATACACACACACAAGTATACACACAGTAACAATGTCAATCACAAGACATACAGGATCTTTAATGTCAAATTTAATGAGCTATTGAACAATATATAATCATTTAACGTTAAATATCGCGCTTTAGCAACGATATGTTGTGTTGAAAACCCATATAAGAAGTCAAGTAACTTCTTATAAAACTGCTCTACTTTGTTTCTTTTTATTAGCATCACAGTGCGATGCTAACAATGCCATATGTAACGCTACACACAGTAACGGCACCCACTTGTCTGTTGTAAGTAATGGACCATGCCTCGACCTGCATAGCTCCTGTGTAGATGTAAACCACCAACATACATGTCCTCACACAAACGAATATGTATGTGCTACTAATGGATATACATATGGTAAGAATAAAAAAGAAAATACATTTGAACAAAAGACTTTGCCGAAAATACTTTGATCAGGTTATACATTCTATGTTATACATAGTTATGAAACATATAATCATGTTTAATTGACAGCATAAACTGGTATATCATTGTAAATATGTAAGTTAACTGGTTAAATATGATCTTTATGACATTTTAGTGATAATACCAAAATATAAGACACGTAGTCCTTTGACAATTCATAGAAAGCTATGCCAAAGGGTCGTAAGCTACTTTTTGTCTACGAAAGAAAGAATTTCAGAATGTCGAATTAATGTATATACAGCATTATTACAATCCCAGTGTACTCTTTTAATGTATAGCCAACGAATGCTACCTGAGAACAGCCCAATGCAGACTTTTATCTTCCCTCAACGCCGCTGATCCAATTGAGATTCTGCATGAAGGCAAGTGTAAAGACAATTCAACGGCACAGTCTAGAAATGTAAGATGCATTTCCATTTATCATTTATTCTGAAAGCTGAATTGCAAACAACTGAAGACATAATGCTTCCAGTATGATTTTACATATAATTCGTTCAAATTCTAATTTGGACTTGTACTAAATTAAATTTCATACTTTGCGGCTTGAGAATGGATTGTAAACATAGTTTGAAAGGTGTTTCTAAATTCAAATTTTACCATTGTATGTCTAAATGTTATATTCTGTTTAAGCCGATGCTTTGGGCGTAGATGGTAGCTTGCAATTACCATATCGTCAATGAACAGGCTCAGTCAAACCGAGCCAGTGCATTTTGTCGTTTGAGTGCCGTTATTTTTTCACTTTATTTGACTTTTTGATGGATAATAGTCTCAAGGTTATAAAACGTTTTTCAAATGACTGTCTCAAAATGTATGTTTTTACTGGTAATTATACATTCTGTCGAAGTTTATGACGATTCAGATGACTTAGATTTGAGACGGAGCTTTGGAAATTTCTTTATCACCTCGGACCCTAGCGATTACATGTATTTCTTATTGGAAATACAACTACGATTACATATCTTCAATACTCAAAAATGAAACAAAAACTTTTCGAATCTACGATATACTGTGTATGTTTTAAATAGTCCGATTTCGGTCTACCGATGGCGGAAGTGTGACTATATGTTTGCCCTCCTTCTGTTAGTCTGTGTCTGCAAAAACTAAATCCTGCAATAATTCAAAAAGGGCTTATAGCGACAACGTAACCTATAATATCCTTATCGCCTTTTCGTCTTGTCGCAGCGCCAAACGGCGCGCTGTCGTCTTGTCGTCCTGTCTCTAGCGAAGCACGCCAAACAGCGCGTTGTCGTGCGGCGCGTTGTCGAACTGTCGCTTGACTTATAACTCAATCCGTCGATTTGAACCGAGCGACAATGTGACATCGCGACAACACGCCGCACACAACGCGCCGTTTGGCGTACTTCGTGAGCGACAGGACGAAAAGACGAAAGTCTAACATCCTGACGTTTCGCGCGTTGCCCTGTTGTCGCTGGCGCCAACACAACGCACAAAAGCGTTCCAGTTCAGCCACCATACTAACGTGACGGCACATGTCATTATATTTTTTTTGCAATATTTCCAAGGGGGGAGTAATCGATATAGACTGAGGAAAATGATATATTCTAGTTATCCCCCTTGATAAATGGATAGTGTATTTCTTTCCGGGTGTAGTACGCCCCAGTTCTCGGGTTGCTAATATGCACTATTAACCTGAGAGGCATGTTAATGTTGTGGCTATAATCTGGATACATAGCAGCATATAAACTGTAGCCTATAACAGAATTTATTATTAATTTGCATGATCTTAGGAGATGCTTTGGTAGTTAGCACGGAGGAAGGTATTCTAGAACTGGTGTAACTCTCCAGGAACGATGGTTAGAAAACTACACGCCTATATGACTGAAATACTGTTGGGAAAAGGCGTAAAATCAAACAAACAAAAAAAGTATGATCTTAGAATGTGATAAAAGAAACATTTTGTCAAATTGCATATTGAACTTTTGGTTCTATGTAGCGCAACAATGCTCTCTCTTTTAATTGCTTGGTAAACATCTTCCGGCCTTATTTGTTTAAGTCATCAGTTATGAGGTATTTTTGTTTTTATTCTGCTCAAAATATATTTTTTAAACAGGTTGACTGTACCAAGTACGCGGACATGAGTTACGCGGGATCAATTCCAGTTGCTGTCGAAGGCGGTGTCGAGCAGATTGTCAAGATAAACCATTGTAACCATACATCGAACACATATGTGTGTGCTGATGGATTTACATACGGGAGTGAATGTAGTCTTTGTCATAGAATGGCAACAATGCATAAAATTAGTAAGTTACATCGTCAAAAATTATGTACGAGTAATGTCATGATTTAAGGTATCTAACCATATATTATAATAGCTATATGCGGTTTTTTGTGGGTTTTTTTATTTTCTTTTATCGTTTCTATTTACAAGAACGGTGTAATTGTTATTGAAGTGTGAAATTTGAATAAACATTCTCATATTGTGTTTTTACGGTTAAATTCAGTTAGGCATCCATGAATAAATGCTTTATTCCCGTTTCGGTAATATAGCAGTTGGAGATTTTTTTATAATTATAGCACGATATTTACACGTTTATGTATTTTGTTACAGCATACACAGAACTGAACGTTGCAATCTCGTATGATGGAAGATGTCATCATCAGATCATTATTGGATAGAAGCAGAGGTTTTCATGAAATGTGCATTGTTACATTGTTGTGTTATGAGAAACAAAAAAAACAACAACAACAAGACCATTGTTTTACAGTGTTTGCATTATTTTTAAAAATGATATGAATCTTTCATACATTTTGACAACCATACGAAGTTCATCCTTATTTGTTTTTCAAAAGTTAACGTCTTGTTCAAAGTGAGGTTCCTTTTACGCATGTTTAAGGAGTATTTGACAATAGGGTGAACTCCATGTTAATCCCAATTCTAAAAATTGGGTATTGTAAAAAAATAATGTGACTTTTTCGCTGATCAATGTTTGCACGAAAACATTATGTTACAGCAAAAAATAATAATTCACAGTTTCTGATCATTTCAAATGATTCAAATCTTTTTCTGAATGGTATTTTACCTTCGTAACTTTCCTTTTAATTTTTTTACCAGAGGTTCCTTTGAAGCCAAATAAATATTATAAGAAGGATTTGTTTGAATGTTAAGTCAGATGCCAGTAAAATAATTATTGCATTACGAGTCTGTTTTTCGTGACAACTTCTTAAAATGTTTTGCACGTCTTTGACACACCAGAACCCAGTATGGAATAATACTTCCACATAAACTGCATGAATACCCGATTCAAACACTTATATACGAAGAAAGGCAAAACGGTTGACTTACATTTTTTTTAAAAAATTCTTTCAATGAACAATCAAATAAAAATTGAAATCTAGCTCAGAAGAACTAGTTGCTGTCATATCTAAAGAAGTTTCTTATAGCATTTCTGCAGCACCGTTATCAAAATGTAGGTACAATAAAATGACAAATCTATACAAAATATCACATTTATTACATAATGAAAAAGTCAAAGTAAACTGTATACACAAACAAAAATATATCATACAAATGTAACAATATACATTTACAAAGATTCATTGGTCAATATGTTGATTATTTTGCTCGGAGCCAGACCTCGTTATGTCTGTCAAGGACTTGGTAGGGATTATCATATCCGGCGTAATAGTAAGGGTTCGTAATGTACTTGCTAGAATCATTTATATCTTCAGACAGCTCTAGAATATTGTTTTGTACCGTCGTGCCATTTGTATATCCTCCAAATACCCTGAAAATACAAAAGTTACATTCTTATAAAAAGCCAGCCAGGTCATTTTAAAGTGCAACAAAAATAACTTACCAAGATTGAATTCATATGTCTAGGAAAATAAGGTAACGTTTTTGCATAAGATAATCTTGAAGCATTGCAAATGAATGATGAATGAATGAATAATTTAACAATCAGTACGGCTAGATGTATGTAAGGTCACTCAAATATGCATGTTTATTTGACTTGTGTCTAAGGATATACAGCAGCATAATTTCATTAATATTTATAACTTGATGAGTTTTTTTTGTACAAAGCCACTATCTTAATTTAAAAATGAACATTCCTAGGAGGGTCATACATATTTTATAAAATAAAATGAATGTTCGTGAGTAATTGTTAATTCATTTATGTGCAAGCAAATTGCTCTGTCATCAAATGGGTTTTATAATTGTGATAAGTACCTGAGATAATAAACAATTTGTAAAAATGTATAGATTACAACTGATAATGATTTATCTTTAGAGCTGGGGGGGGGGGGGGGGGGTATTAACGACACTTAAGTTAAAAAAATGACTGTTCGGTAATAGACACCAGTACTAATATATTTCTGTTTTTATGAATAATTCGAGATTTAAAACAAAATTTGAAGGAATACACGTATCAAATAACACTGATGTGAAGCACGCGGCGAGTTATTACAGGTACCGCACAACATTTGACAACTGTTGTGCGTGGAAAAAATCTGGAAATGGGCTTACAGTCTCGATTAGATTAAATCTGTTCATGGGAGGTAATGGAAAAAGCTTTCACAAAGACTGAAAGACATTTTTATTCGACATATTTGGGTTTGACAATATCTTACTTCTTTCTTACCTGACATACACAGACATTTCTGGTAAGGTGGTGATGTAAACATCTTTTGCAGTGGGTTTTGGAGGAGCTTTCTGAAGGTCAAAAGGTATCATAAAGTGACACGTGAACGTGCTCTCACAGTCTGGGCCTTGTCCATGCACAACTGTGTTAACAACAGGCGCCGTCATTGGTATTTTCATGTCTTAAAAAAATAAAACAACAAAGACTCATTTCAAATAACACATAAGTCGTTTAATCATAATGGTTCTATGTTTTAAAACTCGTACGTTATAAAATCAATCTGTTTGATAGTTTATTATGATCACAAAGCTTTATAAATGAGGATTATAAAAATTGTTATAATGTTGAACGGTAACCCAGTGCTTTATCACAAAAGAAAAGTAATAAACATCTATTATTAGTTTTCTTTACATGCATTCGTCATTAAGAACATAATAGTGTATGAAAGAATGCAATTATGATTTAATGTGCAATTTAATATGAAAAAAGAACATGTGGTTGTTAAAAGAAATCTTACGTGCAGTATTGTTTCCAGATATGTAGTAAAACAGTTTGTCAAATAAATCTTTCTGGTCTTTGTCGCTGAAGTCCATTTTTGTTAAGTTAGTTGCCACCCACATTGAAGGCATATACTTCCTCAGTTCGTATGTCTTAAATGAAATAGACTCGGTCAGTTTGCAATGCTACATGTGACGATTGTATGAGTTTTTAATGAATATTGTTCATGGATTTTTTTCTCATTTGTAACTTGAGCAGAAATATTAAAGATCCTGTATGTTGTAATTAAGGATGTAACAACACTTAAGTGAAATTTTACATATATATACAATTATTCTTCTAAAATAATTTCCAGACATTCAAGAGTATGTCAAATATGAACTGCAAATATTTATACGCATTAAGTTATCATTAAAATATATACATTCATTTCTTATTGAAAAAATGGCTTAGACTTTATCGAAAATAAATTTCTAATTACCTCCCTTTCATTACACAAAAATGTAAATTCGGTAATATCTCTATAAATAATGATTTTTGGAGCTTACAATGTTAATAAATCTTTATTTGATCATCATATTTATGATATAAAACCATAAAAAATTGAGTTACAGGATCTTTGATATGATTCGCTTAAATGAAAAAAAAGTTTATCTACGATATTTTTTTCAGTATAATATCCTATCTAAGGGATTTTTTTATTATCTACGCCAACAAACTTCAAATGCTAAACTATTACATATTTGGTAGCTCCATATTTACACATATCTTTATTGAGACATTGGCGTTGTTCTTTGACGTCTAGAATATCATCAATCTATATGTCAGGGCTGACAAACTTTTTACCACTCAGGGCGAATACTTGTATTTCCGCCATTTTAAACTTGATAATTATCGATACTTAAAGGCAAATGAAGATAAAACAGCAGTCGATATAGATTAGATAATATACCTTGAAAGTTTCAATGACACTGAATTTAGGGCAATCAAGTTTGTGACAGAATGCTGGCTCATCGTTGGCGGGTTCTACTTCTAAGACATGCGGCAATCCAATAACAAGCTGACTTGTCCACATAAAACATGTTGCTATCGTCAAGAAATTCATTGTGCTAAATTCAATGAAAATGTAAAATTTCTTTTCGTTATAAATACATTTGGTGGATGAAGAACTTCTATGGCAAAGAGGACACACGAAGAGCAACGGGACGAAAGAAATAGGTGAAAATGCGTGCTCTGTTTCATTGAGCCGAATTATTAGACAAGATGGACATGCAACATCTCACAAACCAGCAGCACTAGCTTAATGACTAATCGATCTTCAACACTACAAAACTTCGAATTAGTGAGGTGTCAGCCATTTAAATACCTACAATAGGTAAGATGTCACTTTATTGTCGCTATTTGTATAATTTTGCTGTCGATTGTTTGCTTGATGTTACATTTTGATTATAAGAACAAATAGTTTCTATGTCTTGAACAGTGTACAAAATTTTATACCTTATAAATATGACATCATTTTGGTAATGAAAAAAGAGACAAACAGACGCAAAATTATGTCATGCTATATTTAATCATTTAAAAATCAAGTAATAATTCAAATAATTAACTTACAGATCGCTTTGTTCCAAACCTCTCCGGTAAATGATTAAATTATCGTAAACATAGCATTTATATCTAGTTATGAAGTTCTTAAATTTACATAAGTTTTCAGTCTGTCACGTTTGGATAAAGCTGTCGTGTCACGAGACCTGGCATTATGTTTATCTGATAGGTCATTGTTTTGTTAATAGACGTCAACAAGGGCCATATAATACGCCTTTAACATCGCAATAGAACAGTTCTGATCCATTGACATTTAAGTACAGATGAACTGTGATATATAGAGTCTAGATATTTCACATGATTTCTTTTCAAAGTTCGAAAGGAGTGTGTCGTTCATCAAAGATCAAGTGATATTTATTCTGTTTGTTTTCATAGTGGATATAATTGTTATGAGAAGAAAAATGATAAGATTTATTTGAACTGTATTGTACTGTATTTTTTTAATTAATAATGTCGGGTAAGATTTTAATATTTACTTAGTAACCAAGCAATAAAATATACCTTGTCAATGTTGCATTTTCACATGATAATATATATTATTTAAAATATAAGGGGCACTTAACACAAAGAAAATTGTTATGTGTGTGTGAGGTTGTTTTTGTTTTTTTATGTGATTTAAACGACATTGATGATGGATTTCATTTTGAATGTTACTTGAATTATAAAATTGCAGAGGGAAACTACACTTGTTTCAGTAAAATTCTTTAATCGCTGAATCAAAATAGCGAGTAATAATGGATGATTCCATCCATCCTCTTTAAAATTCATTGATTAATATCACGTGAGTGTTTGTTTAAAATAGTCCAGTATTTGTGACAATATTTATGTGTTGCAACTATGTTATTTAGGTACACGATGCACATATTGTCCTAGTGATTTTTTTTCTTTTCTATGGCATACATACCTTGGTAAATTATTTTAACAGAAATAATGATCACGACGTATTCAGTACTGTAGGACGCTACATTGTATATATCCATCATTCGTTCGAGAATACTGTTTTTAAAGTTCACGAGATGAAATAAAATTACATCTTACACAACAAACAGACAAATTTTCTTTTTATTTTATGCTTAAAAACAAGTTAAAACGAAATTTCCATAATTTTAACGTTAATATTAAAATTTGTTTCCCCCATTGAGAGCCCCATTTAGACGGAATTTCACATTAAAAACAAGAAGTCTTGAGCTGAAAAACAAGTCCGCCAATCAAAGTTAAATGACGGGGATATTTATTCATTTTATTAAAAAAATATGAATGATCGCTTGTTTTAATAATAAAAACAAACAATTCTTGTAGGAGAAAAAGTCCAACCATCCATCCATATCTCTATTACTTACTGCGAATTTATTTTAGACCTGGCTTTGTAAAATGTAAGCGGCAGCCATTTTTTAAAGTTGTGTATTTCATGGGAGGAAAATAATTGTGTAAGATTCAGAGGGATATAATTTGGATTTGTTAGTCATACACCTTTTTAAAAGAAAGAAAACTTATTTGAGGATTGTAACAGACAAAAAATAAGTGTTGACAGAAGTGAAAACATTCAGAAAAGGAGCTAGGAAAATGGAAAACTTGGAAGCTTGCTAAGGAACGCTGGGTTGTTTTACTTATTCTACGAGTGATGGCTGTCAATGCTTTTCAATTTTTCATAAAGCATACGGCAGTTATTGCTCGTAGTCTCCTGATACTTTAATATGCCCAAATGTCATCAAGAGCAGTTTTGCATGGGGAAGGAATGTACTTTTCAGACTGTAAAAACGAAACAAAAAAATTTAGAGACGAAATTTGGTGATTGGAATTTGAATGAATAGAAGTAAGTTTTCTTCTTTTTATTACTTTTGACATTTAAGTTATTTATCTATTTCAGCTTTGCTATTTCTTTTAACAGCCTGACATTGTCAGAATTGTCAGTAAAAATAAAATTGAGGTACCACATGGGGAAAATCTTAAAAAGTAGTTTCGTCATTGAAAAAAGTGAAATTATATTTTGATAATTTTCACTGTGAAATTATCAAATATAATTTTCACGGATAAATCAGTAATCCACTGAAAACCATAAAATAATAAAGAATATCTGCATAAAATGCATTATTTCACATAGGTGCTGTAGAAATTATCTAAATGCCGCTTAATTGAAAACAATCACTGTAGTTTTTGTTTTCCATAAAAAGAGATACCTCTTATAAAGTGGCTAGTAATCATGAGAAGGAATCTTATGAAAGTGTCTCTAAAACAATCGCTATATTTTGTTGTTTTAGGGTTTGGTCACACATAAAAAAACGATTCACTCAGTACTTATATGACGCTATGCATATGTTGCACTCTTTGTTACTTAACTAACATAAAATCACAAACGCATGCCAAACCGTTGATTTACAATTATTATTTAATATATTTCTCATTTATGTTACTGTCATATGGATTGACGATTAAGCTTTGAGAAATTATTCCTTCGAACAAGTACTTTAGACTCAAGACCATAAACAATAAAGGAGACACATAAGATGCATATTATTCTTGTTATCTTATTTATTTATTTATCAAAAGATTATTTAGAACAAGTCCACTACCATTACGTATTTTCATAACGAAATGATAAAAATCTGGAAAAGAACAAAAACACTATTTTCAGATAAAAAAAAACTTTATTTTAAAAATCTTAAAATAAACAAGCAAATCCATATTAAGTAGAAAATAAGGCGACTAAAAGTACATTAATGATAAATTCATTGTGTCAAAAACTGAATATTCAAGCAAAAATAAAGCTTACTTATATATAAATACAGAGAAAAGCAAGTACATGCATTTTAGAAAATCTCGTGCTGTGCAGACTACATTTAGTTTCCATGTAGGTGAAAATATTATCGAAACAGTGGATCGATATAAGTATCTTGGTGTTGTTCTTAATGATAAAGGGGATTTTTCATATCACTGTGAAGCTTTGGCGAAAGGTGCTGGTCGTGCATTGGGAAATATTATTTCTTTAAAATTCATAACTATAAAGATTGTGGATATAAAATCATTTACAAAACTGTTCGAATCATGTGTGATACCAATCTTAGACTATTGTGCTTCTGTATGGGGATTCAAACATTACCCAATCAATAGACAATATACAATACCGTGCTATAACCGCTATTATCTCGGTGTTCACCGTTTTCGCCCCAAAACTTGCACTTACTGGAGACACGGGATGGCTACCAAGTAACTATCGCCGTTGGATATAATAATACGATATTGGAATAGGCTTATTTTAATTCATGATAATAGGATTACTAAACGCGTCTTCAACATGGACTACAATAAATGCAGTAATAATTGGTGCAGTGACGTTAAAACAGTTATGACAAAATTGAACTTGGTCAGTCATTTTGAGAACAAAACCGTTATAAGCTTAGATTACGTTAAGGGACCAGGATAACTCAATATTATACGGATATTTTGGAAAACTGACATACAAAAAGTACCGAAATTACGAACCTATGTTACCCTTAAGGACAATTTTATAACAGAAAAATATGTACAGTTAAATTTGAATAAAAATGAAAGATCAATGTTATCTCAATTTAGATGTGGCATTCTACCGTTAAGGATTGAAACTGGACGTTATATCAGTGAAACACCAGAGCAGAGAATTTGTTTTGTTTTGTCCAGATAATAAAATAGAAGATGAAAAACACTTTTTAGTCCAGTGTCCCTTTTAACAACAACATCAGAGTAGACATTTTTAGTGAACAATTTATGAATGAAGATTTTATGAGCATGAACGATGATATGAAAATGAAATATCTTGTTGTAAGTTTTCCACGAAAAGTAGCTAAATACCTTTGTTAATGCTTATTGTAAAAGAAAGAAATCCTTATTTAATCGTTGAAATATTTATCCTGTAATATTGATGATGTGTACAGTATAATAATTTCATGTGAACTATTTATAATGTATATATGTTTCAGGTGACTTATTGGTCCATTGGGCCGGGTGTTATGTTAAATTATTTAATTTCGTTATTTGTAAACTGTCATACACATGTCACTATAATAAAATATTTACTTACTTACTTACTTACTTACTTACTTACTTACTTATATAAATGAGTTAAAAATTACAAAATAATCTAAATACTTTTTTGAAATATTAATCTGGTTAATTATTAATTATTAATATTTTTAAACAATTAGATAGTTTTTTTTACTCATTCCGTATTTACTAGTACATTAATAAACAAACAAGATTCAATACAAGATATAGTTAGTGTACAGTGCTATGATAAAAAAAAATGTTGATACTTAATATATTACAAGCGTAATCTTGTTTCAAATACATTTCTTATCTTTGTCATATAAGTGAAAAAACGCAAAGTTTAAAAAAAGAACAGAAACAAAAACGGAGAGACACAAAAGCAATGTAAACCAGTAAACCAAATATTTCACAAAAGCAATTGTCATGAAATGGTGGCTGTAAAGAGGAGCAGTTTATCAAAATGTAAAATTTGTTTTACACAAAATGCTTATGTCAACAAGCAATTATCATAGTATTGCAAGTTATCCATAAGTCCCCTACCGGTTAGAACCCCAGCAACATTCTGATGGGCCATTGGCCATTCATTTTTACCATTGAATGAATGAATTAAGTTTGTAAATAAATTAAAAAATCTTTAAAAGTGATCTCAGGAAACACTCTTTTATGAAGAGACAGACAGACAGACAGACAGACTGAATGAGACTCTAAAGTTAATTTGTTAAACATCCCTGTAAACAAAATATAACGTTTTTAAAGAAAAATTCGTAAAGAAGAGATAACTCTTGAAATAAAGATGCTAGATTTATGAACATTGTCATATTCATTGTGATGTGAGTGTAACAAAGAACAATTAAGTTTAAAGATACCACTTATAGTCACAAAGAAGAAATGTAAAAAACATAACAATTTCAAATACACCATGAAGAAATAAGAGAGTTAAAGAATGAATAAGAAAAATTTAAAATTTAAGGAGGAGATAATTCTGGGAATATGGGTTGTAGATTTATAAACCTTATCATATTATTATGATGTGGGAATTTGAAGTAAATCCTATAAGGAATGAAGAAGTTGGATTAAAAAATACCAATTTCTCGAAAAAAAATTTAAGTTCAAGGGGGT